CGGCCAAGTTCCTGCTCTACCTGGGCCACGGGCTCTCCACCTGGGTGAGTAGCGCGGCGCTCGCCCGGCCCGGGGCCCTCGCGAGGCAGAGCCGCGGTTCCCCCCGCAAGTCCTCGTAGCCTCCGCAGCCTGTGCTGTGCTCCGCTTTCCCTGGAACTGCAAGCGCAGTACGCAGGTCTGGTTCCTTACACAGCAGCGCAGAACCCCTGGGATGCTCCTCGGGGTGAGCGGAGGGAGCGGAACGGGGCACGGCCCCAACTGGTATCTCGGGAAAGGCACGTGCTGCGTTGCAACATGCATCTGGGAGGGTTTGTGTGCTACCTTGCACTGGGGAAACTGTGTCTGCAACCCGCCGCTTCCTGCTGCGGTGTCCCACACTGCTCAGAGTGTCTCAGAGGGGTCTTCTCCGGCAAAGTGCCCTCTGGCACACTTGTGTGTGGAAGTAGCTCACTGTAGCAGCTTTCCTTCACTTGTGCAAAACATCAAAAGAAAATTAAAAATCTGATGCTCCTTGTTATAGCAAAATGATAAACAGACTAATACTTAGCTAAAAGATACACAATCATGAAATATAGTCTTGATTTGCTATAAATAGCTAGGCTCAAAAAATGGCATATTTGTTTCCAGGTGTTCCATTATTTATCTTTTAGTCCTGGATTTGGACTGTTTTCATGTGTGCTCTGTATAGCACCGAGCCTGCTCCTGATGAACAGTTACAGCATCACGTGCTGCCAGTGCCCTGCTTTTCCTAATCCAAAAGGTCGCCTTGATGCTCCTGTTAATGGAGGAAGGAAGGCTTGGAGGGGCATCCAACACTTGTTTACTCAAGTGCAATATTTTTAGCAATTATTAATTTAAATCAGGGGGTCGGGTGATATTTGGTTTGCAGTTAGAGTCCAGGGCTGTTACCTGCAGCTGTTTGTTCTGTCAATACAAGGGCCAAACTGCTTACCTGGCTGTCCCAGCTCCCTGCTGGTGAGGGCCAGCAGAGCTCTGTAGTGGAGTTACTCAAATGCCTGTGGAAGGGCGACCGTTGTGTGAAAACTACAGTGTGTGCTCTGGAGAGCAGACTGCAAGGTGTCTGTTTGGCCCTTAGCAGTGCCAGGAACACGCTCCTGGCTCCTATGTGTTCTTCTCTTGTGCTGAACTTCTGTCCCAAGCTGTCAAAGTAAGAGCAGCGCTGCCCATTTTGACAGAACTGGCTGCAGGACTGTGTTTTTCATCTCTTGGGCTTTGATGTTCTTGTAGTCTGAACTGTTCTAACAAGAAAGTTTTCCGCAGGCCACCAACCAGTGCTTTCAAAACTGAAATTACTGGAGCTTTGCTCTAAAACGTCAGTGTCCAAAATAAAAACTAATAAAAATGCATCTTTGTTGTTGGTGAGAGAACTTGATCAACTTCTGTGTTGCCAAGCCACTCCCAAATACAGAGAGAAGGTAAATGATTAAATCTCATGTCTACAAATGCTCAAATTTGAGCAAAGTCTACATTGTTGTAGGCTCTCTCGATCAGTAAAAGTGCCTGAGTGTGCGTGTTGCCTCAGTGATCTGTAGCAAATGGGCAGGATAGCTTTGCTGAACGGGCACCTCAAGACTTCATGCTGTTGCTTCACATATATAACTTTTTCCTATCTGTTGCTCCACAGTGGCGATTGAGCAGAGTGAAGCTGTTCTCCCAGTTGTTGTCTGGACTAATAATTAGTCATATAAGTATTGCAGCTTCCCGGCTTATCTCAGTCACTCAAGATGTCCAGGAAGCCTTTTATCAAGTAGCAGCCTGGCTACTGCTTGGCTTCAGTTCTGAGCTGGGACTATATACACTTAAGCTGAGAGGCTGTTAGTTTAGTTATAACAGAGAACTGAAAACAGTCTTTACAAGGATGGTTAGGCCTAACAGTTATAGTTGTTCATTAAAAGAAGTTTAAATATCACTACATTGAGTCATCTAAAGGTAGGATCAAGTATATATAATCAAGACTTTGCCCACTTGAGAGCTATTTACTATTGATATCTCAGTAAACTTAGTTTGAAATTTTTTAACAGCTTCATAACTGCTAATAATAGAATGTTTTTCTGTGGCTCTAACTTATCTTTACTTGCTCTCTATGGCTTTTAATTTTTGAAACTCTTGCTTCCAGGTTGGAACAGCCTTGATTATTCCCAAAGCTGTCTGTGAAATTGGCCTTGATCAAAGCTCCCTGGGTGAATAAGTTGGATGAGGTTAAATAGAGCTTACAGGTTCCTGAAATGGGTCCTGTAGCAAAATTAGTCTCACTGAAGTCAGGGGAATCGTTCTGGATGTCTCAAGTGAGACTGGGTTTGTCATTCCAACAGTGACTATTGCTGACTTTTGCATGCTTAACTTTTCAAGATTTTTCTTTCTTTGTTAACAGAATTCAGTAACTGAAAAATAAGGGAAAAACTTACGAGGTTTTCCTAGTGAGAAATACGTTTTAGAAGATGATTTTCAAACACAAAGGCTCCCTAAGGCAAATCAAAACTTACATGTAATCCACCTGCACACACTGTAAATTGAATTTAGTGAGGAAATAGCTGAAGTCATATTAAGCTTAAGTGAATGCTAGACTTGAGGAAGTTATCTCTGTTCTTTCATGTGCTTTCTGCACCCTTAACTGTGGAATGCAAGTGTAAAATTTTAAGATGCTTGGAAGAGTAATAAGTTAGATTTGCCCTCTCATATAATAGTCATTTATGCTTGTTTGCATTCTTTTGTTGGTTTTGTTTTAAAGCAATGAGATGATTTTCTAACCTATTAGAAGTGAAATTTTATTTATAATGGGGACACAATTATTTCTATGCCTATAGTTAAGGAGACTAATACGAATGTTTAAACTTTGCAATGTTTGAAACCATCTTCAGAATACTTCAGTAAATGTTAAAATGGTGATTCTTCATGCATATATACATTGCTGTGTTAAAAAGTTTTCATTAAATTATGTCTGCAGTAGCCTTAACTCTTAAAATAGTGTGATTTTTATGCATCTTGATTGCTCTTTTAATCCATATGCCAAACTTGGTATATGCTCTTTTAAAAGTGCTTTTATGTGACTGCTCCAACTGTTCAGATACTACATGTTTCAAAGGTCCTTAAATACTTGTAATTGCTGCATTACGCAGCAATTACTTAAGGTGAGGGAAGGGAACAGTTTGGTTTGCAGGAGACTAACATCAGGGGCCCTTATTAAGCATATCCTCTGCCCTAGAACAGTGTTCCCTTTATCTGCTTTGCTATTGATTAAGTAAAGCCTTTTCTGTAGCGCACTTCTTGCAATGTACTTAAAAATACAGGGAGATAATGACTCCAATCATATGACAACATAGCTGGTGTCGTCATTAGCTGACATATTCCTAGATTTCTTTGGTAACAAATGCTTTGAACAGTATGAAAGTTACTTTGTTTAGACATCTTTACCTTTCTGACTTTGGCTGCTGGGGCATATTGGAATATGGAAAAGGTACAATCAAAGAAACAGTGTTGTGATAGGTGAAATATAAACTAGGTCTGATATTCTGCCTCTTGGTAATACACCATTGTTCAAATTCATTGACGTCAAAAACTAAACCTAAAAGATTTAGGACAGTGCCTTCCTTGATCTACCTGTATTTGTCCTTCATTGTTTTCTGACCCTTGACCAACTTTTGTGTTTTAAAATTGCCTTAAGCTTTGCCCATCTAAAGACAAGTATTTTAAAGTATTAAAATAGTAATGATAATAAATATCTTGTGGTATCTATTTGGTAATCAGTGCTGGAGAGTCTTAAGTTTTCTCTGGATTTTGTTGGAAGTGGCTGGCAACAGACTTTTGTAATAATATAGTATATATTTGGAATTTGATGTAATGCATAAGCTGTAACATACCGTTAAACTAGAGCAGATGATCACAGTGATACTTGGTTAAACTGGAGGGGAGGGGATAGTTTATGGTTTATAAAGCCCTGCATGTGCAACAAACCCAATGCTTGGTTAATTCAGATGTTTTTCAAGACATCAGTAAAATATGAGAGCCAACTAGTATTCTTCCAAGGTGCAAATAGTAATGCTGTGTGTGTACTTTATTTTTAAAGGGAGATCGTATGTGGCATTTTGCTGTCTCCGTGTTCCTGGTTGAACTTTACGGAAACAGCTTGCTCCTGACTGCAGTCTATGGGCTGGTTGTGGCAGGATCAGTTCTTCTCCTGGGAGCCATCATTGGAGACTGGGTGGACAAGAACTCCAGGCTCAAAGGTTAGCATGTCCAGTGCAGGCTGTTTCCTTAAGGCTGGATCAAACTAATGTCAAAAGACAAAGGTACTGGAGTGAATACATCAAATCAAGTGAGAACTGGGCTAGCTCAGTCTTTTAAAAAAAATTATTTTGCTTCAGAATAACACTTATTTTTAATATATGTGCTCTAGCCTGTTGTATAAATGACATGACATCAAGTTCTTCATACACATTCTTTTTTCAAGAATTATGTAAAAGTGTTACTCACATTAAACACATTAAAAGCAAGCTTCAGAGACTTAGACCAACTCTTATTTTTACCATTTTAAAATAAATAATTTAGACAGTTTGTTTTGATAGCTGAGAAAAAGCCTACCTGGGCATAAACCTTAAAAGGTACAAAGCTACATTAGACATTAATTTGACTCTGAGACAATGGATGATTAAAAATGAAGTCTAAATTGACACTTCCATTTTTGGTGAAGGGAGGGGTGCTGGGGGAAGGAAACAACTAGACAGGTAAAAATATTTACAGAATCTTTGTTCTTTAACTACTCTTTCTGTAAGCTTATAGTTTGCTCGTTCTCACATTCATTATTGTTGCTCTTCTCTTTGATTTAACACAGTGGCCCAGACCTCCTTGGTTGTACAGAATGTGTCTGTCATCCTGTGCGGTGTTATCCTGATGGTTATCTTCTTGTTTAAGACACAGCTCTTGACCTTATACCATGGATGGCTTCTTGTGAGTGCTCAAACTTGTTAACAAGGAATTAATTTACAAGGAAACTTCGGGGGGCATAAGAAAGAAGAGGGAATTTTTATTCTTTTCTAGTCCTTTTAGACATTTCTATGAGCTAAAACTGGCAAATAAAATCCAAGCTAATTGCGAACAGGGGTGATTTGCTTCCTGTCAGGATTGGTAAAGGCAGCTTGTATTTGAAGAATAATACTTAACTGGATGGGGTTAAACATAAATCTGTAGTTTTTGGTTGTGTGATGTAGCAGTGGAGGTCTCCCATCATCACTTTTCTCACTCCGTAACTTTTTCCCCCCATTTTTCTAGACGATGTGCTATATCCTGGTTATCACGATAGCAAATATTGCCAATTTGGCCAGCACTGCCACAGCGATCACAATTCAGAGGGACTGGATTGTGGTGGTTGCAGGGGAAGACAGAAGCAAACTGGCAGGTGAAATATGTTGCCTTTTTAATGCCTTAAAGTGTCTTACTTTTCAAGTTTGACATTAGGTTAGAATTTCAGAGGTCAGTGCATTTGAGTTCTAGGTACTGTTAGGAAAAAGCTTAAAAGAGCAGTCTCTATTTTCTTCCCTTCCGTTCTTGACTACACTTGCTGAAATTAGGAACTACTGTTATGAATTTGTGATTACAATGCAGTTAGATAACCCTAAGCTTTTGTTCTTCATCTAATCCTACTGCAGCTTTGTTAAGAGAAACTACTTTTTTGTCAACCAAATAAACATACATGCTCTTAAATCAAATAGCTTTTCCTATTAAACACTGGTTATTTAACTTTCAGGCACTTAAAGCCAAGTGTTGCAATACTTTTTTAGGCTTCTGGGAGGCTCCTTATATGGAGATCAAAGAGGGTGAATGAAGTCCAGAACAGTTAAGTACATGGATCAGGAAACTGCCAAAATAAAGTCCTGTGAATTTGAAGTTTGAACTTCTACAGCGTGAGGAGCCTAGCTCAGAGCTGTGAACACTTACCTTCTCTTGGAACTGAAAACTCAAAATACTCATCTGTTTTTTGATATCTTTAATATTAGACTACAAGCTTAATACTCTCTTGGCTTATGAAATATATTTTTCTTCTACTTTTTCCTTTCTTGCCCAGTGGCATAGCATCATTAGAGAGCTTCCATTCCAGTTCTGTAGCTAGATGGTCATGACTATGAGGATGTTAGATGGTTTGTGATCCTCTACAGGCCAAGGACATGTTGAACCTGGCTGGGAGAGTATCCAGGGCTCATCAGAGATGTGATCAATGCCTGGCTGCGTTGCTGCTCTGCTTCCCACACAACACAGTGTGGGAAGCACTGTCTTTCATTACTAACTTGAACACTTTCTGTGGACTCTGTATAAGCCTGTAAGGGGAGTTGAGCCCTTTTAGATAGAGGAACTGATAGTGAAGTACAGACAAGGCAATGGAAAGCTCCTCTGTGCCAAGATGCACAGTTCACTGAGGTAACTCTGTGTCTAAGTTTTGAGTATATTTGTGGAGTTTAGGTGCCTCCAGGCTCAGGCAACACTTCAGTTCTATGAAATATTTTATTTAAAGCTACCTAAATTGTCCATAAAATTTCATTCTTATGCCTAAGTTCTGGGCTTTGGACCTTTATATTATTAGGTCAATCTCTAGTAAGTGAGGCTCTTCCCCTCCCTCAAGAGAGGATAGAGAAGTCTCAGAATTTCATTTCCCAGTGCACAATTTTTCCTTGTAGCTTTTATTTTGACCTTGCAGTGCCTTTTTAGGTCATGCCTTATACATATGAATCACAAGTCGGAAAAATAATTGTATCCATAGAAGCCTTAAGTCCCTAATGGCTCTCATTAACCTTTCTTCCTGTGTTAGATCATATTCAGCAAATCATCCCCCACCCCCTGTACTTCTACACATGAGATAAGGCACAGACCACACCTGCAGAGAACTGCACAGCAGGCAGTCCTGTCTGCTGTGACTTCAGACAGCGTGAGGTGACCATTCTGTGTTGGAAACCAGGCAAGAGGTGCCTGGGGACTGAGGCAACGTTATGTAAAAGAGTAAAACAAAAGCTCAGCAAATCTCACAGCTCTACCAGGCAGGTATAGGGTTGCATGGTCAATCATAATGTAATTTGTGCATTCTTAAGATAACCTAATAGAAACCAGTATCTGCTATCAATGTGGCATTTTATTTTTCTATTTTTGTATTGTTAGTGTCCTTAAAGAAGGGTCTTAATTAACTTGATGGACTAAGCAGATAAAAGCTGTCTTGATTTTTTTTTTTTTTTTTTTCCCCCCCCATCACATTGACCTTAATCACTGATTAGTCTTTTCATTCTCCGATTCTTGCATATCTCAAGGTTCCAAATGCTAGCCTTAGGTAAATAACTCAATGTACCTTTATTTTTGGAATTTCTAAAGGAAAATATCAACTCCAACTTACAACTTTTGAACTCAGAATAACTTAAACATATCTTTGAATCACCAAGCAATTGGATCCACAGCAGATTCAGAAATAGCAGATTCATGTTGCTTTACAATTTCACTCATTTGTTAAAAGCTGTTTTCATAATAGGATCCTAAAAAGAGTATGAGATAGTACATCAGGGCTTCACAGTGTTTAGTACTAACAGCATCCATCAACTCTTAAAGACAGAAGGGCAATGTCAGTTGGAACCTGCAGCAGCCTGAAGGTTGAGGCTGACTAAGGATTGGGGAGTAGAAAAATCCCATCCTTAGCAAAGGGAAGCCATGAACCTGTGAAGGGGCTCCTTGCTTTGACTGTAAAAATACAAGCGTAGAATAGACAGCAGCAAGGACTTTGCTCAAAGTGTTCTGAGAAGGCCTACAAGTTCCAGCTGCCAATGTGACTCAATAAGGAAACTCAAATCCATTTCAAAGGTCTGCTGCTATCGCTGAGGGTACTGTGTGGTCACCAGTTATTAGAAGTGAATGGAAGAGAGAGATTAAGGAGTACATGGCTCAGTAGCAGAGGCAGCAATAGCTAAAAGTATCTTCACAGAGTATGTTCTGCCACGCAAGATTCCCATTAGTGTCTGGAACTGCACGTGCCAGGTTTGAGTGCTGCAAGCAGCCGGGGGGTACATCCAGTCACCTGGATGCAGGAGCAGTGTGCGATGCCTTTGCAGTGGAAATATTCTTGCATGCCCAGTCTGGAAGCCTTCATCCAGGAAGGCTTGAGGAGTGGGAATTTAGCTTACTAACACCTGGTTTATTCTAATAAATTTAGGGTTTTTTTTTCTCATTATGATTTATGGAGCACACAAAAATGCTTCTAGTTTGCAGTCCTGCTGCAAGTGAAGTCACTTGTCAGGGGTCTTTCCTTGACTTCATATGTTCTGGAGCTTGATGTATGCTTATGGGCTGTTCTCATGTGTTAATATTTCTCTGTAACTGTAAGCAAGCACTTCATATTCTCAATCTCTGACAGACATGAATGCTACAATACGAAGAATTGACCAGTTGACCAATATCTTGGCCCCCATGGCGGTTGGGCAGATAATGACGTTTGGCTCTCCAATGATTGGCTGTGGATTCATTTCGGGTTGGAACCTGATGTCTATGTGTGTGGAATATTTGCTGCTCTGGAAAGTCTATCAGAAAACCCCGTCTCTGGCTCTCAAGTCTTCGAAAGTTGAAGAATCAGAACTGAAACAGCTGAATGCAAAGAAAGGTATTGAAAGTACTGAAGTATCTGTTCAAAACCAGCATATATTTCCTGCACTGGTCAAAGCAAAACTTAATTATTTTTCTATCTTGCTTGGATGCTGTTTTGAGGATACAGCTTTTTAGCTTTTTGGTTTGGGTCAAAAACACCAGGACAATAAGTAACAATGCTTCTTACTCCAGCTATTACAGGTATCCCATAAAAATCAGCTAAAGGATGAATCCTTTCCTCTTAGTTGATCCTTTAGAGCAATCCTGCCCTGTTTAGAGCTGGTTGATGTTGATGAATATCCATCTGTCTTCCATCTAATGTGCCAACAAAGCCCTTTGATAGTGTCTACAAGCAAGCTATTTGTATAGGATTTTTCCTCCTAGCTGGACTCTACTTACATGCAGCACTTCACTTGCAGGCTTTCAGGAAGTTGTGGAATAGGTGGTAGATAGGATAAACTATCTAGCTAGGATAAGTAGAGTTTCTCTTTTTTTATAGTTTCTATCCATACTACTAATCCAAGTACCACTCTGGTATTTGGATTTGTTTATGAACAGTGAAAGTGTGGTGCCTTGCTTCTGTAATTCCACTTCTACTCCTTTAATATAAAAATCTTGGGATTCTAAAATCAAGTCTGGAAAATGTTTTTCTTTTAGTGTATGGGGAGTTTTTTGTGTTTGTTTTTTTTGTTTTTTTTTTGTTTTTTTGTTTTTTTTTTCTCCAAGCTTCTCTGCTATAACATGAGATGCTGCCAGAGAATTAAGTATTTCCTTCTTGTGATCAGTGCATTCAAACATTAAAAAAAAATAAAAATAAATAGAAAATAGCATTACCTAATATTTATTATTTTCTTTATGGAAGTTTGGAACATTTGGTCACAAGAAGTGCATCAAGACAAAAGCATCACCTGTTCCTTTCCCACCAATTTAACAAACTAAACTGCAGTTTGATCTTATTGGAGGGAATTAAGGACACGTGAACACTGAATGCTCACTGTGAGCAGTACTCTTGCAGCTCACACTTTGCCCTTTCCTGCCAGGCGAGCACCTAACAGCAACATTTCTGCTTGCAGAGAGTGACACGAAACCCGCTGAAGGAGTGCAGCTAATTGTTGAGAAAGAGGTGGCCGAGCCTCAGCTGGAGAAGGAGGTCGGCTGCGCCACGCGGATCGCCGAGCCCTTCATCACCTTCCGTGATGGCTGGGTCGCGTACTACAACCAGCCAGTGTTCCTCGCGGGCATGGGCCTTGCGTTTCTCTACATGACTGTTCTGGGCTTTGATTGTATCACTACAGGCTACGCGTACACTCAGGGTCTGAGCGGCTCCGTGCTCAGCCTCCTCATGGGGGCCTCGGCGGTCACGGGCATCCTGGGCACAGTGGCCTTCACGTGGCTCCGCCGCAGGTGCGGCCTGGTTCGCACGGGCCTGGTGTCCGGGGCGGCGCAGTTTGCCTGCCTCACCCTGTGCGCCATCTCCGTGTTCATGCCGGGGAGCCCCCTGGACCTGACTGTCTCCCCCTTTGCCGACATCAGCGCCAGGCTGTTTGAAAGTGAACCCTTACCCACCATTGCCTCTCCGGGAGATAAGTCTGAAGTGGCTTTTGCAACTGGAATGCCCACCTTGTTGAACGGGTCCGCTCCTGGTAACGGTGACCCAGAGATGAGTCCTGAGCCTGTGCCTTTAATCTCTGTTAGTCTCCTGTTCGCAGGAGTCATTGCTGCTAGAGTTGGTGAGTAGCATATTGGTATTAAAATCTGACTTGTTGACTGTGTTTAATTCTAGAACTTGCAGAGCTTGTCAGCTAAATACAAAGCTGAATTTAGAATTGTTGGCTGCATTTGAGTGTTCCACAGCATTTCTGAGACTTACTTAATTACACTAATGTCCAAATGAGGGTACAGTAGCATTGCTAATTCAGACTGCAGTTCCAACTTAAGAGTTTAAAATATAACTACTTCTTTGCAAGCATGCTCTTATGCAGCAATAAGTAATAGTTACTACTATGAATACATTTTAAGATGTAAAATCGCCATTTAAATAAGGAACAGCAAGTACCTTATTGAGCGAAGTTGAGCAAAACACTGTTTGTTTGATAGAAGTCTTGCTTCAACACGTAATAGGTGTTAACATGTCAAACTGTGTATTATTTAAGGAAGTAAAGAGCTATTTATTTTTGCTTTACTATTGACTGTGCTGGTCTGTCTGATTAGTGGCTAGTTTGTCCTTTATATTTCAGGCAAATCTGAGTGTTCACAGAAATTTGTGCCAGTAATGGGAGCTGAGAAGTCCAGTAGTGTGGATAACTAACTGTCTTTTCTCTCCATAGGCCTTTGGTCCTTTGATTTGACTGTCACACAATTGCTCCAAGAAAACGTGATGGAATCTGAAAGAGGCATCATCAATGGTGTCCAAAACTCCATGAATTACCTTCTTGATCTGCTGCACTTCATCATGGTCATCTTGGCCCCTAACCCTGAAGCTTTTGGCTTATTGGTGCTTATTTCTGTGTCTTTTGTTGCAATGGGTCACATAATGTACTTCAGATTTGCCCAAAAAGCTTTGGGAACACAGCTTTTTGCATGTTGCACTCCTGATCCCAAAGCAGTCTCTGACAGCTCACCACCTGCTAATACATCTACAGTCTGAAAGATTTTGCTACACATACATCACAGTTAGATGTATAGAAATGGTCACAAAAAGCAGTCTAAGGTGTTTCTCTAGAGTTGAATGCATATTTAAGGAAGCCTTGCCAAAAGAAGTAAGTCATCTCACGGTGAACCTATACATTGCACTTTGGACTAGGGACAACCTAGTTGGATCTTAACAGCTGGCATTTGAAAGGATCCCCAGAAATTACAGATAAAGTATTTGATCAGAACAACTTCAAATTTATGTCCCTCTCCTACATCCTGATACTGTTTGACAGTTTTACGTACTCACTTTGTCCATATTTGTTCATTGAGCAAAATAAGGTTTTTTTCTAGTTCTTTTTTTCTACATATTACTCCTCTTTTGCCAAAGTGGATAAAATCTTTCTTGGAGGTCTGAAGGGAATTTCACACCTGTTCTGGTGTTTTACCAAAACACACCTATTCTGGTTTAACTTTACAGAAACACCGGTGCAGCTTTTCATGTTTCCTTACAAATTAGATGAGCGCTAGGTGCAAAATATTATATTATGCTTTTGTGCTTCATAAAGTAAAGCATATAACCTCATTTTAGTAGAAGCTATTGATGTAACATTATAAAAGCATAGCATTTAAATGCCAGATCTGCTCAAGTTTGCAGCAGAGAGTGCTAAGGTCAGGAGTACTGGTACAGAAAGGTAAACCAAGGGCTAATTTAGCCTTTGCCTTAGAATACAAGCAGCTTTGGTTTATTTTCAAATGGCATTGCTTTAAGAGACCTTATTAAAAGCTGATGCAGAAAACGATTACTAGTCCAGGCAAAACACATCTAAAAAGTGGATTTCTTACACTTGCTTTACAGTTAGTTGGATTTTACAACTTAAAGTTGATTCTAAGATGCCTCTAAAACAGTATCCACCATTGGACTGTGTGACCCTTGAGGAACTTCAGACAAATGGAGAATGGTTATCCTTTTGATTTCAAGAAGTTCTTGCATTATTTGACCCTGCACATGTACTAACACAGTGCTTTTATTTGTCATTAGCCATTTATGCACTTTTGTGGAAGCTACTCTAAGCACTTTGCTTTTCAGTGGAGTTGAATCTTGCAGTATTCCAAGTTTTTCTTTGGTGTGACAGTATGATTTTTAAAGTTAAATCTTTGTTAAATGTTTGTTTGCAAAATCAGAAGAATGAAAAATAAGGTATTTTTTACAGGTTGCTGAGTTTTTAAAGTTTTTATTTTAGGTACTTTCTTTAGTAGTCATCTGTGTTGCCAGACTTCAACCCTGGAATGTCAGCGTATCAACTCCATGGACATTAATGGCGTTACACCAGGGCTGAATCTAGGCCAGTTATCGTAAGAAATTAAAAAAAAATGAGTATGTTATCAGTCTAAACAGAATGTAAAAAAACCCAGTAGTTTTTATCTCAGATGTGATATTTTGTGAAGGGGCTGAATGAATGGGAATACAAAGTGCAACCTCATTGTAGCCCTTGGTATTCAATAACTGGATGTAATAACAATTTTCTCTAATAGACCAAAAGTGATGATAACTGAAAGGCTCTCAGGGATATTTTCATTAGATCTGTAAGTGTTTATACTTTGACCAAGCTTCCTTTTTTATTTTTTTTATTATAATAGTGAAATAGGTAGAGTATTTTTTCAAATCTGACTCAATCCTGAGTATCAACAGGAAATCTACAGCAAAAGGGAATTTTGCTATCAGCAAAATTTTAAAAGTCAGAAGAGAATTAGAGCAAGCTTGTCTAGATTTGCAGAATCAAGCTGCCCCAAGGTAGCCTCTACAGTACATGAGTAGAGGCTGCACAGCAAGTAGGATTGAACCAATAAGGAACTTTGAAGTACGCTAGCAAAATCCCTGCTTTGTCAAATATGTTGTGTTTCCATACATCTGTTAACTAAGTTGGGACCAGACTTTAATATTGCTGAAAATAAAGGTATTAATGTCAGTAAGTGCCCCTATATTGCACTTTCAGGAACACCTGAATGCCACTGTATATGTGCCATTCACCGTCCATCAGAGAAAGCTGAAAATGCATTTCATGGGGGGCTTTCTCTAGCCTACATAAATGCCCGGTTCCTGAAGCCTGATCTGGTAGCGTGGGGCACCAGGCACTGCTCTGGCTGCCTGTCCTCCCCCAAGAAGTCCCTATTTCCACATGTTCCCAAAGTTGGTTTTGTTCTGAAGAGCAATGTAGCCTTTCTTATGTCAGAGTAGCTTTTTGTTTCACAATCTCAGTGCATGCTGGCATCTGGATCTCAAGCCAAAAAAGTAGCATTAGGAGGGGGCTGGTCCTTCAGATTTTGCATGCATACTCTTGCTAGAAGTTTATGCATGCAAAGAATACGTGACTGGATGCCAGGACAATCCTAAAAGATCAAAATAGCAGGAAGGTCTTTAGCTTTAACAGGAATAGAGACATCTGTATTGGAAGTCAGGCATATTTTTTCAGACCTAGTCAAAAAATGTCAAAAATTGTGCTGCTTGAGCACACACCGATGTGTGTTTATATCTTTAACATATACATAGACACTTACTGATTTGAAGTAATGTGGAGTCTGAAATTTTACTTAGCAGGACTTTTGCTAAGTAAGCATTTTGGCCTATTTATTTATTTTTTGGATGTCCAATTTGGATGTAAATTGCCCTTAAAATGTGCACACTAAAATATCAATCTTACCAGAATAGCATATTTTGTTATACAACTTTATGCTGGACATAGTATTGATTGATATATTAATCTTGTTAATAAAGCTTTTGAATAAATTTGCTTCAAGATTTATTTCTCTTGTATTATTCAGTTTGTGGACACGTGCATTGTGATATGCTGCATCTAAGGTTTCCATAATCAATGTGTGGAAATGTGCATTGTGATATGCTGCATCTAACCGATCCTGAGGATTAAGGTTTCCATAATCAATGTGTGGAAACAGTCAAGAAGCACAGAGAAGTGGAGAACAAGCGCTTCATTTCAAAAAATGTCTGGTGCTTTTCAGGAGTAAAAACTGGCAGATGCTACTGAGTCAATCCCAAGTCATGGGCTCTTCTTGACTTTGAAACAATACTTCAGAATTACAAGCAAACCCCAAATAATTTAGGGTAAAGATGATGTTTCTGCCGAAGAAGAATGCAACCAATAGATCGGTATTTACTACAACCCAGCTGCAGGGAGATGCTATTGCCTCCTTACGTAGTCACTGACCTGTTTTCAGGTCCTCTAGGAATATGGCATCTTGTACTCTTCATTTTTATCTTT